TCGCATACCCAAACACAGCCCTCATGGTCCCACCTTGAGTATCCCCCAGGCTGATCATCTGCAGTTACTTCAATCTTCACAGGACAGGCCTCCAGGCTTTTTCCCATCCTGGCTGCCCTCTGCAAATCCTCTCCAGCTGATCAATATGCTTCTTATCAATCAATCTGTTCCTGAGTCCTGTTGGTTCTACTGCCATCCGCTTCTCCGGATCCCTACTGCTGCCATCCCAGGTCAGGACCCTATCACAATCCTCCTTGAGGATTAGCATCATCTTCTGACAGGTCTACGTGCCTCCACTCGCTCACCTCTCTGGCCCGTCCTTCACATCGTTGCCAGAATAAACTTCCTCATCACAGACCTTGCTGTGTTACTTCTCTGCTCGAGAATCTTCTAGTTGCTTAGCAAGCAAAGACCAAATGTCCCTGAGCAGCACCCGACACTCCCCCCCTTTTGCTATGTCTTGGTTAGATCCCGTCCAGACTGTTGCGTTCCACTGCAGACGCCATATTTTAAGAGGACGCTGAGCTAGAACACATTCGTGGGTGGCCGACCACGGCAGCCGAAGGCTTCACAGCATGTGAGAATGGCGTGAAGGAACTGGGGAGGGGGGTTCAGCGTGTTCTGTTTGGAAGGCAAAGGCAGGAACAATGGGCAGATGGAGAGGTATCAACAATAGGCATCACAGGGAGGAACATTTCAGCTCAAGGGAAGAAAAAGCTGCCTGACAATTAGCACAAGATTCAGCAGCCTCTACAATAAAGGATCAGAGGGCTTGGAACGGGACATCCCAGAGGGCAAAGGAGCCAGGCCTGCAACCAAGAATCACCTGCCCAGCAAAACGGAGGAGACTCCTCCGGGGACCAGCTGGGCATGACTTAGCTTTTCTCAGCAATGCAAAGACCCGAGGCAATTCTGAAGGACTTATGATAACAAATGCTATCCGCCTCTAGAGAAAGACCTGATGGAGTCTGAACACAGACTGAAGCACACTATGTTTTACTTTTTTTTTTTTTTTGGTCTCTGTTTTCTTCGTAACATGGCTAATACGGAAATCGGTTTTTCATGACTGCAGATGTATAATCTGTATCACATTGCTTGACTTCTCAAAGATGGATGAGAAGAAGGAGGGAAGAAAGAATCTGGAACTCGAAATTTTAAAAAATGAATGTTAAAAATTGTTCTTACATGTAATTGGAAAAAAAATAAAATATGAAAAAAAATTTTTAAAGGTTGATCTCTTCCCTAATCTTTCCCAGAGACAAATAAAGGGAAGGAACATGTAGGATACCACTCGCCATACTTGCTGCTCTGGCATAAGCCTGAAGGGAGGAGGGCAGCCTATGCTAAAGACTATCTGTGCCCACTTTCCTTTTCCACAGAGGAAAAAAGCCAAACCCAGAAGGGCCATTCTGAACCACATCTTTACTACTCCTACTGAGGGCCCATGTTGGCACTCACTGACCTCCTTTGGGAAGAAGGCTGAGGGTGGCTATTGGGAGCTGATTACAACCTATGTCCAAATGAAAACAGAGAGAATTCAAGAAAAGTCTCTTCCAGTGAATGTTAATGGGCAGTAGAGGCAGGATCCCGAGTCCTGATAAGCTGGAATGATGGACCAAACCTAACAAGAAAATAAATGTAAAGGCCTGAATTTACATTAAAAAGTTCAACATTAGAAGCATGGGTGAAGTTTAGACAAAGGAAGTCTTAGAGGAGATGTGTTATTTGCCTACAAATACCTAAAAGCTCTTACATAGAAGACTAGACTTACCAGTTCAGATCCAGAAGGCAGGAAAAGGGCAAAGAGGCAGAAGTTACCAGAAGGCAAATTTCACATCAATATAAGGAATGACTTTCAACAATGAGAGCTGTCCAAAAAAATGTAAAGAGCCGATTCATGAAGCAGCAAGCTCACTGTCACTTTCCTCTGCAATTCTGACCCTACGGTTAACTGGCCCAGTAATACACTGCCCCTCTCCTTGAGTCCCTTGCCCCCTTCTTACCCCAAGTGACCCTCACATCTGCTTTCTCCACATGTGTTCCTGTGCAGCCGAATACTCCTGGGGAAGTTACACAGTCATGTCAGTGGGGTCTGCTGCAATCTTCTGCTATTTACAAACATCTGCCATCTTCATGGGTCCCTCACTGCTCCACGGCAGTCCTCCCAGCTTCTTGATTAACCCCGCAGAAGCCTTCTTTCCTTGTCCCTCCACCCCTGTCTTCTCCATTTTTCTGAGGAGGCCACAGTTCATCAGCTTTTCCCTCCTATTCTATACCTCACCCTGTATTCTCTTCTTTGCTAAAGTACTTTACTTTGTTGGAGACAGCCCTACCACCCATAGCCTTCCATCTTCCCAGAAGCTTGTCCTTTCAACCATCCCCACTCTCTTTCCCTTCAAATTAGCCTCCTTTACACATCACTGCCATCCTCATAAACTGCACTTCTTCCCCATACACAGAGCCCTGGCAAAGGCTCCCCAGCGCCATCTCCCACTCGCTTTCTAAGTCCTCGCCAACATGGCTGCCCACCCAGTTCACTCTGAGTCAGCCTGTGGTCCTATTCCCTCCCTGCAGCGTTCATCATGTTGCTCATTCCTGGTTCTCCTTTCTCTCTCTGACCACTTCCTTCTTCGTGGGCCTTGCTGCGTCATCGTCTGCCCAATTCCTCACTCTGTTACAACTCGACAGAGATTTCTTAGGAGCCTGCTATGTGCTAGGGACTCTGCTAAGTGCTGGGGATAAGACTTTAAGAACTACCATTCCATCCAAGGAAAGAACGAGAACACACGCATGCAAACACACACACAACACACAAAGCAAACACAAAGAAATTACAGGATGGTGGAAACACTATACTACCAACTGAGGGATCAGAGCTCGTTTCATAAAAGAGGTGGCCCCAGAGATACGCTGGGAAGGAAATGAGGGATCTGAAGAGGCAGAGGTGAGAAAGGCATGCTCTCCAGGCATGGGGCACAGCCTGGGTAAAGGCGTGACACAGGAGATGTAATGTCCAGAGGGAGGGAAGGGCAATAATGCGTGACCAGTCTGGAAAGCAGGCAGCAGCCAGACTGCACAGGGATCTCAGTGTGCTCGAAGGCAGTGGTTTTGGCTCGAGAAGTGACCAGCTTATAAGAAGGTGTGAAGTGGACAGCGAGGAGAGAGACTGGAGGTGGGGCTGAGAGGAGAAGGCTCCAGCAATCCTCCAGGTGAGCAGCAGTGGGAGTCTAAAGGAAGCAGCAGCTCTGAATTCTCTTCCCCTCCCACCTCCACCTCCTGGAATCCCTGACTTCCTTCAAGTAGCTAAGCTCGGGCTCCATCTCTTACAGGAGCTTTTCTCAGTCTCCCCATTTGTCAGTGCTCTCCTCTTCCGCCAATAATCCTGAATTTGCACACACTGCATTCTACTGGAGAATAGAATGGATGTGGCTTGAAGGCAAGGACCACTTTTCACTTTTGTCTCTGGCCTCACTGGTGTAGCAGGTTTTAAATGACTCCTCAGTAATGTAAAGGAATCTATAAAGAAGGCAAATTTAAAGAGACCTTCAAAATACACTATTTCAGAAATGAAAACAAAAATGGTGCCAACTTCCTAGTGCAGAAACACAGTGCCCCATCAACACACAGAGTAAGTACATGAAGAAAGAAAGGCACAGATGATATGAGCCCTCACCTTACAACTAACTCAGGCAGCAGAACGAGTGGGGGTCACAGCCTTGTTAATTCCTCTGCTGGAAGAGAATTACTGAAGAAACTTCCTGAGGAAGGGATCTCCCCATCTCTGCCAAAGGAAGAGGACGCCCCTCCCCCCGGAATGGGCAGGGGCGAGTCACAGGACAGTGACATTGCTGACATGCTTCTGCCCCATCCCCAGGCTAGCAGAATCATGGACGGCCGCTGTAGCTGCGGCTGAGTTGTTTCAGTCATGTCTGACTCTATGACCCCACACGGGGTTTTCCTGGCAAAGACACTGGAGTGGCTGGCCACTTCCTTCTCCAGCTCATTTTACTGAGGAAATTGAGGCAAGCAGGGTGAAGTGATATGCCCAGGGTCACCCAGTTACTAAGTGTCTGAAGCTGGATTTGAACTCAGGAAGATGAGTCTTTCTGACTCCAAACCCAGTGCACTATCCACGGAGCCCCATAGCTGCCCAAGTATTTAAGACACTGGAAGGCCTAGATCTCACGTCGTAGGCTGGCACTGAGGATTTCACCTGTTCCAAATTACTGCCCAAGTCTCTAATGAGGAGCGCCTGGTATAACTTCTCTTTTCTCTCTTCTCATACTTCTTCCCAGGACAAGGGGAAAGAAAAAAGAATGAAAATAAACGCTGAGAAAGGTAGGGAAAGAGAGCTTAGTTTTTGGACACACTAAAGCCCAGCACAACTGGCTTCTGGGCAGAATCTATGCAAGTGAGGAGAAAAACTGTGTCATGAGTATTTTAAAGACAAGACCTGTCACAAGACTGTGACGGACACCAGTTTCCTAGCCAGGCCAGCAATTTCAAGCTTCCAAAAAGACAGACACACAGAGCTCCTTCTCTTCCCTCTGCGCTGACTGTCCTTGCTACTATCCGCCCAAGCTAGAATATCACAACAAACCCAACAAATAGGGAATGCGGTCAGTCCTCGATTACAAAAACCATAAAAAGAAAAAAGCCACAAAGTGAATCAGCATGTGTGTGCCTGAGGGGCAGGAAAGGCAGAGGGAAGGGGGAGGGGGAGGAGGAGGAGGAGGGAAGAAATCATCTTGTACAAATGGGATAATTCTGCATCAGGAGAACTCCGCACGAACATGCCAGTCCCAGGACATTAGGGGCAAAGGAAACTCACTGGAGCTGTCTGCACTGGTCACCTCTGAGCTCCTTCCCACACTGTATGTCAAAAGTCAACATGGCTTTGAGAAATCTGCTTGTGAATTATGTCCAGAGGCAGGGCAGCCTCTCTGCCACGGGGGTCTTAGCAGGGAGACGAGAACAATGCTGGGAATGAGGCGACTCACTTGTTGCTGTCCTTGTATTCATAGATGTGACATCCTTGAGGCATCCCAGTGTCCTGGTCCAGAGTGAAAGCAAGCTTTAGCTGCACAAAGGAAAGAAGAGAAACACAAGGAGGTGTTAAGTGGCCCATTCCAACCATCCCCGGGCTGAAATGAAGGCAGCAACGGAAGCAACGAAACTCATTCCAGCTGATATCTCTGCTCTGGGCTCTGCTGTGCAGTACAGCAGGCCACAGTTCTGGGCAGAAAGGGGTTACCGGGGACCCGCTGCTGGCACTGACTGACAGCTCTATCGTCCGTAAGCAGTTCCGGGCAGAAAGGAGTGCTTTCGACCTGTCACAAGGGAGTTCCAAGGCAGAGAGGAGGCAGAAGCAGTAGTGCTCGTGGCTGCAGCAGAACAGGGCATGTGGTCACGGTTTCAGGACCCAGAGGAATGCTAGCAGCTGCAGGGGAACAGCTATCCTTCCCGGGTAAAGGCCAGAGCACAGGCCTGGAAGTAGTGACCACACCCCTCCCGGGACCACACCACCTTGGAAGCACCAAAAGCTTGCAGACCCCCAGAACTAGCTCTGAAAACAATAGCACAGAGAAGCCCAGACGAGCAGAGCTCAACTTTAATATGAGGTCCAAGGTCAAGAAACAGGCTAGAAAAAATAGGTAAAAAGCAAAGGGAAAAAAAAAAGAACTTGACTGTAAAAAACTACTACAGTGGCAGGGGAGACCAACACATAAACTCAGAAGAGGCCAACAGTGTGAAAACAGTCACAAAAAGAGCCTCAAAGAAAAACGCTCATTGGACCCAAGCCCAATGAGAATTTCTGGAAGAATTAAAGAAAGAGATGAGAGCGGTAGAGAAAAAGTTGGGAAAAGAAATGAGAGAGATGCAAAAAAACTATGAAAAAAGAACTGACAGCTTGGTAAAAGTGGCACCAAAAATACTGAAGCAAATAACACCTTAAAAGCTGAATTAGCCTAATGGTGAAAGAGGCACAGTCACTGAAGAAAAGAACTCCTTAAAAAGTAAAACTGATCAAAGTTTTAAAAGCTCACTGAAGAAAATAATTCCTTAAAAATTAGAATTGGGGAGATGGAAACTAATATCTCCACGAGACATCAAGAAACAATAAAACCAAGTCAAAAGAATGAAAACAAAACCAGAAGAAAATGTGAGATCTCATTGGAAAAATACAGCCAGAAGAGATAATTTAAGAATTATTAAACTACCTAAAAGCCATGATAAAAAAGAGCCTAGATATCATATTTCAAGAAATCATAAAAGAAAATTAACCCAATATCTTAGATCCAGAGGGTTCAATAGAAATTGAAAGAATCTACCAATCAACTCCTGAGATTCCAAAATGAAAACTCCCAGAAATATAACAGCCAAATTCCAAAGCCTCCATGTCAAGGAGAAAATATTGCAAGCAGCCAGAAAGAAATCATTCAAATATCACGGAGCCACAGTCAGGATCACACAAGATTCTGCAGCTTAGATGTTAAAGAAGTGGAAGTCTTGGAATATGATATTCTGGAAGGCAAAGGAGCTAGGACTGCAACCAAGAATAATTTACCAGCAAAGCTGAGTATAATCCTTCAGGGGAAAAAACTGACATTTAATGAAAGAGAGGACTTTCAAGCATTCTTGCTGAAAAGACCAGAGCTGAATAGAAAATCTGACATTCAAACACAAGGCTTGTGAGAAGTACAAAAAGGTAAACATAATAGAGAAATCATAAGGACTCAATAAGATTAAATTGTTTACATTTCTATATGGGAAAATGATACATGTAAGTCCTAAGAATTTCATTATTATTATGGCAGTTAGAAGGAGTCTACATAGACTGAAGGCATGAGTGTGAGTTGATTCTGTTTGGATGATCTCAAAAAAAAAACAAAAACAAAAACCAAAGGACTGAGAAAGAGAAATGAACTGGGAGAAAGACGAAGGGAGAAGTAAAATGGGAAAAATTTTCTCACATAGAAGCATGCAAGGAAGAGTGTTTATAATGGAAAGGAAAACTATGGGAGGTGGCAGGCAATGCTTGAACCTCACTCTCATTAGAAGTGGCTCAAAGAGGGAAGAAAACACACACACACACACACATACACTCAGTTGGATAAAGAAATCTATCTTACAAACAGGAAAATAGGAGAATAGGAGGGCAAAGAGATAAGAGATATGGGGATCAGGGAGGGGGATGATAAAATGGAGCACAGATTAAAGGATCAGAATCAAAAACGGATTTTTGAGGAAGGACAGAATAAAAAAAGAGAAAAACAGAAAGAAAATGGGATGGAAGAAAATACAGTTACTAAGCATAACTGTGAATGTGAGTGGGACGAGCTCACCCATAAAACAGAAGTTCTTAGCAGAATGGATGAGAAACCGGAATCCAACAATATGCTGTTTACCAGAGACATGCTTGAAAAAGAAACAAACAGTTAAAATAAAGGCTGGAGCAGAATCTATCATGCCTCGGCTGAAGTAAAAAAGATAGGTATAGCAATCATGATCTCAGACAAAGCAAAAGCAAATACAGATCGAATTAAAAGCAATAATGTTTTGCTAAAAGGTACAACAGACAATGAAGGAGTACCAAAAAATTTTATAGCAAATTTTTCTGTAAAGGCCTCATTCCTCAAACGTATACAGAATTAAGTCAAAACTTTCAAAAAAAACAAAAAGAGCCATTCTTCGATCGATAAATGGCCAAAGGATTTGAATAGATAGTTTTCAGATGAAGACATCAAAGCTCTGTATAGTCATATGGAAAAATGCTCTAAATCAGTATTAGTTAGAGAAATGCAAATTAAAACAACTCTGAGGTACCACCTTATACCTATCACAAACGACAAATGCTGGAGGCGATGAAGGAAAATAGGTACACTAATGTTAAACTACTGGTGGAGTTGTGAACTGGTCCAATCATTCTGGAGAGCAATTTGGAACTATGTCCAAAGGGCTATCAAACTGTGCAATACCACTGCTAGGTCTGTATCCTAAAAAGATCAAAGAAAAAGGAAAGTGAAGGGATGCTCATTAATCGGGGAATGGCTGAACAACTGATGGAGGGACTGTGATGGAATACTATTGTGCTATAAAAGATGATGCAGAGTGTGGTTTCAGAAAAAAACATGGCAAGACCTATATGAACTGATGCAAAGTGAAGTGAGAAGAACTGGGAGATCATCGTACACAGTAAGAGCAATGTTGTAATGATGATCAGCTGTGGAAAACTGGGCTGCTCTCATCAGCACGATGACCCAAGACATTTTACTCCTGATGAAAAAATGTCATCCCCCGCTGGAGAGAGAAACGATGAATTCTCTGGGCAGCCTGAAGTATAATTTTCTTGCTTTCTTTATTTTTGTCACCTTTCATTTTCGGTGAATATGGAAATAGGCTTTGCATGATTTCACATGCAGAACTGATATCATTTTGCTTGCTCCTCAATAAGCAGTAGAGGGTTGAGAGGGAGGGAGAGAATTTTGAACTCAAAATACGTTAAAAATAAATTTATTTTAAAAAAAAAGAACAAACAGTTCTACTGGCATCAAGAAGGGCTGAGGCTGACAGTGGTCATCGATTCCCCCCAGAGGCAGAAACAGATAAAAACCTTTTTCCAGCCTCTCTCGCCTCCCCAACAGCTCTTGCAGCTTGATTCAGAGCTACAAGAAACGTAAATGTAAAATGATGATTGATCCCTCTTCCAGGTTCTTCCCAGCACTGACATTCTGAGATGGGGGTCTGCACACCACCCGTTGTGGCTCCCTGCCCTCACCACTCCCTAAGAGAAGCTAGGTGCTGTGTCGTGGCGTGTCCACCTGGGACCCGTGGTGGCCAAGACAGCTCTTTTCCTGGGAACTTGAACACTGAAGCCCCACGGGGGGAATGGCAGACAGTCAAGCATCTGTAGGAGTCCACTGATCAACAGGCATTTATTCCTCCTAGGCACCATTTGCTGATCCTTTCACCAGGTAAGGGGCAGTCCTCAGATCTGACTGGCAGTTGCCTTCTAGACCAAGAGTGAGACTCCAAGACTCAGGGATTGTGTAATGTTCTTTCTGGGAGCTTGGAAGATACTACTGAATCTGCTGGGACCCTCCTTCTCCATGAGCCACTTGGCTCTGTTCCACTTGTTACCAGTGTTCAAAGTAGTTACCAAGGCCCTTCGGGAAGAGATGCTCAGGCTCCATTATGCATGGTGCCTGGGCAGGAGAAAAGAGAAACATTTGAGTAAGAAACACTAAGAGGAAGTCTGGATTCCTGTGGGGTGAAGGATGGGAGCTGGTCAAGGGAACTGGAGGGGTCTCCCCACTCAGTTATGCAGGCCAAAGTTGGAACTGAATCAGTTAAGCTCTGCCTAACTTTTCCAAATGACAACATACCAAGGACCCCTGCTGAGCCAATAACTTTGTTTACAAATTCTTCAAGATTCTGGATCACCAGGGAATTATTAGTGAAAATTAACTTTTTTTTTTAAACTAGAATGTTGTTAGCATAGCTAATGTGCTATATCATTAGAAGTTGGATAAGTTGTCTCTTCCTTAGGGGGAAATGAACATTTAGTAATGGATGTCCTCTTACTGACCCAAGTGAAAATACGACAGCAGAAACAAACCCTTCTTCCCTGCTGAGGAGCCAAGACCTTCACGCCAAAGTCAAGCCTTTACTAGTCTACATCCTGCCCTTTCCGACGCCCCACTGCACCCTTCTCCTCACTACCTTCCCACTGCAAGCTGAAACCACATCTCTGCTCATCCACCCGCCCCTCCTCAGCTGGCTCAGGGGGTCTCCACACCCTCCCTCTGCTTCAGCATTACTGGCTCTTGGCCCTGCCCAGCCCCTGGCTTCTCCCCAAGGCAGCCCTTCTGGACTCCTCTGGCACCCTCTGATCGCTCTCACTTCGGCCATGGAGTCTGGCTGGTGGGAAGGGAAGACAGTACAAGTTCTCAACCCTAGACTCAATCTCAATTCCTATATGCTTTTACAAGAAAAGAAAACCCATCTCTTGCAAGGCTGAAGAAGAGTAAGATTGTATCTTCTGGCCCTCCCAGTTTCTGGCCAGAAGGACAAAAGAGA